AATATTCACACATTGAAAGGAGAAGCAGTTTTATTCAGACATTAAGTCTTACTACCTAGATGAAAAGGGATTTCTGGAAAATAAAAATAGGTTTTCCACATCTTTGGATGCACGTGAAACCTCAAGAACACATGGTGCATGCCACCTCCACATAGCCTGCAAGCTTGGAAGCAATTCTACACGTGAAACAGTAGAAAGACTTCAGGTTTGCATATTAAGACAACTAGGGCTACTGTGGTAACTTCTGAGTACTCTCCCGGACATCTTTAGTAGAACACAGAACAACATTTTTGTAGGCACCATCTGTTACATTGACATAAGATGAGACAATGTTACAGCAAATAATGGCAGAGGCAACTAAAGCATTTCTGTAATTATTTCATTCAGTAAAGCAACCCTAGCAATATTTTGGAAGTTCTTCCCCAAACAGTCATGGACACTGAAATAAGTTTTGCATTCTCTTCCTTACATGCCTCACTCCAGTTCCCAGCACATTCTGTGGCCCTTACGCAATGAAGCTGTGCGTGCTGTGCCATTAAAAATCAGGAAAAATAAAATCATCGACTTACCATTAATAGTGAACTTGCTATCAGTGTAGATAATTAGTTTCTTGATGTTTTGACTCTTTGCTTGCTCTATTGCTTTGCAGGCTGCCTTAAGAATATTTCAACAGAATCACAGTTCAGAACAGGTTTTTAAACGGATATAGCTAAAATAGCAACAAACACCTTATGTTAATACATACGAATGACAGAGAACACTACTGTAGTTTCTCCATCAGTGAGTACCAGCAAGCTTTAGAGCAGAGCTTCCCCAAATTAAGTGGTCATCTGCATGCCCAACACAACCGTGAAGGCACTTAAGTTTCACCAGCAAAGGCAGAAAGCCCTAATTTTAAACTCTGGAGTGCAGGAGCAGCTCTGCTCCAGAAGTTTAACTATGCAAGGGTCTAGCAACCACACAGAAAGTGTCAGCCACTTAAGCATAAGCTCTGGGGAGCAAGGGCTCATTCCAGCACCTGGCCATACCTAAAAGGTTTTTCTTTTTTGTTGCCAAGAAGTGTTTTAAGAAAAGCAAGGGAAAGCTAGGTCTGTATGGAGAGCTAAGCAGCTCTCCAGTAATAAGTTTGGCCCCATACATACCACCATCACTTTGCTTGTCCCTCAGTGAATGGAATTCCCCGCTCCGCCCTAACTTTTATTAAATAAAGCAGACCAGTTCCCATTCCATTTTACCTCCAAATATCGAGTGCAGGCTAGCAGCAGTACCAGAGCTAGGATGATAAAGGTGAGATTAAATTTGCCGATGCCAATAGCAAAAAAATGAGATTAAGTCAGCTGTTGCCACCCGCAAAAACAGAAATTACTCCTCTGAGCCCACAGCAGTTCGTCATCCTTAGCTAAGAAACGCAACACTGATCACAAAAACAGTGAAATCTACTGCTAACCACTATAAACAGCTCTCACCCTAAAGCCTCACCCTAAAGACCCTAAAGTCTTTCACACTTTACGAACACAGGATTTGACAACCAGGCTTTCCTAAGGCAAGGCAAAAATTTATGATTGGCCTGATGACATTCGGAAAATTCCCAAGATGAGTTGCTACTTCTTCAAATCCAGTAAGGATCAATAAAACCTGAAGACAGGTATCTGTTTCAGGCCATGACTCTTAACATTCTGCACACTCCCTCATGGCTCTGTAACTGGTTTCTGAAGACTAGAGTTGGAACAGCCGTGAGTTCACCATTCTGTTCCACAAACAGAAGCATTTCATGCTGTTTACTACTTACATGTATTTCAGCTCTTTGATTAGTCTGCCGTCCAGGAAGCCTTTCACTGGTATTTCTGAGATCATGGAACAAATATGTCAGTTATTCAAAGTGTTCCTAGTAGTGTACAGATCAATGCTCTTTAGAAAAAATAAAGCCAAGAGGTTTTTTTTAATAAGGGAAGAAGGATGGAGATTCTAGTTGTAACTTGCATCTAAACAGGTGACAAACATATTTAGACCTACTGTGAAAAGGCAGTTAGCTATTGCCTTCTGCTTATACCCACAATTATTTTAAAGTTTTCTGCATCTGCTGGATTATAACTTCATTCCTGAAAAATGTTATTTCCAATTGATTTTTCCCATATTCTTCAATCCTAGAGAAGCTGATCTCTGTTGTTCTCAGCAACTCACTCCCACAATACTAAGAGGAGTCTTAACAGTGGGGGTTCATACTCAAAAGGAGGCTGCTGGTTTAAGTCATACATAAAACAAACAATAGTGTACATCCCTTTTTAAAATGACTAAGTCATCCATATACTTACAAAGGGTGGCCTGGTCCCCAGTAGACACCTATTCCAGCACGTGCCCTGTTACGCCCATTACCTGAGCAGCAACCATCTGTATAAACAACTGCAAAGTCACCTACAAAGGATTATCAAAATCAGAAGTTCAAGTAGTTCTGCCAAGACGCAGCCCCAAAGATGCAACACAAAAAAGTCTGTAAGCAGATTAAGTCCCAAGACATCCCTCTACAAAGAGCCCTTCAAAATGTTATCTGAGAAGCCATATAGTAAAGCATGACACCAGAAACTTGACAGCAGCTTCATCCACTTGCTGCTCCCAAGCTGCAGTCCCAAACCTCAAAAATCACCTCTGCCTGGAGCTCCATATTCTCACTGCAGCTCCCACTTTCTTCAGTCAAGACTAAGCCTACCAGCTACACCTGTATTTTAATATTGGGTCTTTAATCAAGTTGTACATAAAACACATCTATACTGACCATATTAACCTACATGCTAAAACAACTGAAACCAATTAATATCCCGTTGATAAAAAAGAAGGGAAGATGGCTCAAATTTCCATTTTGAAAAGAAACACTGTGATACTGGTACTGCCAATCTCATCAAACCTCTCTGAACACCCTTTGCTATTTATTCTTGTAGTTATCAAGACTAGGAAGAACCCCAAAAAATAAAAATCACACAAATAATGAGGGCTCACCCATGTATGAAAATTGATCTTCACTGACTGTGGGCACTATATACGTTTCATCATGTTTTATGCGTTTTGTGTCATGTTCTTCAGGTGCAGACTGCTCACATGGCCTCTTGTGCTGACTGCCACACAGAATGTTGATTTCCGGCTCTCCTCTGCGGCTGGCATTTTCCTGTGTTAGGGTTGAAGAACCCTGTGTCTCTTAGGAGGGTCAAAAAAAAAAAAAAAAGGGGGGAGAGAAAGTTGAGTTATACATAAGAGTTATGTTTTATTCGGAATTACAGTATTTAAGAATAACATTTTTCTCAACTAATAGTAATCCAAACCTGCTACAGCATTTGACACTTCTCCACACTACCCAAAAGTATTGTAGAAAAAACACACACGTAAACACAAGCTCTTCCTAGTTCTAGGTGAAACCCCGGTTAAGCCACATACATGACAGGCCTTCAACAGGAAGAGACATGCCACAAGCAAGCCCCGGAAGGTGCCAAGAGGGCTGTTTTCGTTGCCCAGACAAACCCACAGCTCTGCCCGGATACAGGGGCCACCCCTGTGCCCTGGCAGCAGCAAAGGCGTTGAAGGGGCATCAGGCAGAAGCCGCGACCCCCGCGGCAACAAATAAGGCGGAGGAAATGAGGCAGCGGCGCCGGCAGTCGCTTTCCTACCTGCCTCCCCCGTCACCGGCAGCAGGGCGGAGGCGGAGGAGGGGGGACCGCCGGGG